TTATTTTGATTTTTATTCCTGTGAACACTACCACAAAAGTAGAAAATTAAAACCTTTTTTCTTTTTTGTTTAATCAAAGAGCTTAGGTTGACTGCCGCCTGCACAGTTGTGGCACAATACCGGCAATTGCTTTAAAAACGCCGGTGACAGTCTCAATTTCAGTTTCAACTTTCTTTTTTTCCTTCTTTACTTCCATTCTCCTCTTCCTCGTGTCTTTGACATTGTGTGAGGTGAGGTGAGGCGAGGTGAAGGTGCCGAATCGAAGTTGCCGACAAAGTCTGCGACACGTTTCAGTGAACACCGCTTTTTGAATTGCCATTCAATTTTCAGCGCATTTCACTGTTTAGCGTTGAACTGCGGTGCAAATAAGAAGTAGAAAGAGTCCTGAGAATGTCAATTGCCGGTGATTCTACTCAGTCAGTCAGTCTGTCTGTCTCTGTGTGTGTATGTCACTGTCGGTAATTATCCTCTGACCGTCTCCAATCACGTCTCCAATTAGTGACAATTGGTGATTCACTTTGAACTTTACTTTAATGTTGCTGCTGATTTGGTTTTTCGTTTTGTTTTTTTGGTTGGCTAAAAAAATAAGTTTTTATATGGTAATTGTTGTAGGTTTGTGTGTGTTTGTGTTCTTGTTTTTGGAGAGATAATGGAAAAAAATGGTTACTTTAATTTAACTTTCATTTTTTTATTTAATTTTAATTTTTACATTTTCTTTGTTTTAAAAAGATAATTTAACTTGATTTATTTTAGTTTTTGAAATTATTGAACTAATTTTTTTAGTTTTCTGGCACTGACACTCCTTGCTGCAGACAGATTACAGAAAATGTCCTTCTATTCTTCTCATTCCCCTTCACTTCCTTCCCCTGCTTTTAATTACCGTTCCCTTCCCTACTTTTTAATTTTCTTTGTAAACACACACACACACACACGCTTTATTTTCCAGGTGTGACTGACTGTGTCTGTTTGTAATGAAATAAGGATAATTACGGTGTGCTCGAATCGCCGGCGGCAGCTTCCTTCCCCTTTTTTCCTTTTTTGTCAACTTCTGTCTTTCCTTTTCCTTCTCGTCTTCTTCTTTTCACCTCACCTCACCTCACCTTACCGCAAACAATTGAACTAAAGTTGACACCTGTGAAGTGAAGTGTGTCGCCACTCAAAAGTGGGAACAGGCGACAGAGGATCTCTGTTCTCCTCTTTTTCCTTTTCCTTCTCTATTCAATCATAATTTTTCAATCAATCTTAGCTTTTCTGATCCCTACTGTTCAGCTGACTGTGACTTACTTTCCTTTCCTTTCCAGTCTCCATTACTCCTGCGGCAATGATTGTGTGTTGTTGTTGTCTTCAAAGGAAAAAAAAGAAGAAGAAAAGTTTCCCTATTTATCAAAACAATCAAAGCTGTTGCTGCTGATCGCTGGTTGTAGTTTTCACCAAAGGTGCAGATTAGGAAAAGACACAGGTGATTGGAAAGCAATGTATGCAGTTTGGTGTGTGTTAAGTGGTGCTTTTTAGGAGTTTAAAGTTGAACCGGGTTTTTGGTTTACTTTGGGTAATTGCCAGTTTTTTGCGATTGTTATTTTGATCATTTATTTTATATGATATCGGTTTATTAAGAAAAAGGTTTCTAGTTAAAATATTTTTAATTTTAATTTATTTATCATTAAATTAACTTTTTAAAATAAAATTAACAAATTGATGCAAAAAAACAAATCTGGAAAACGGAAACAAACTCTTGATGGTTGTTTACCAAAAAAACTATTATTTGCTGTATCGGAAAACTGGCAGCGTCAAAAATAACCGTAAAATGTATTAGCTAACATTTTTATNATTGTTGTTGTTGCAACAAAAACTTTTCAAAGTGTCTTTTACCTTTTCCCCTTCCTCTTCAATTGCTGAAGACATTTTTGTGGTAGCAGACGACGATCAGCGACTAGCTAATGAGCAAACAGCTGATCGATTTTGGGTGTAACCACAAAATTTTCTGATCACTCAACCAGCCGACCAGGTAGTGACTTTGGTAAACTATATAAAGCTTGAAAAGTTAGGAATGTTTTGTTAAAAAGTTGTTTAAAATAATATTTTTTAGTTTTGTACTTTAAATTGTGATTGTTAAAATGGTTTCCACTTCTACTACTGTTTTCAGTTTTTTCTTATTTGTTACTTTTGATTTGGCTATTGCCAAGGATAAAGGGGGTGATCTGATTATTATTGGCGGAAGTGGTGGCGGCGGTGGTGGTGATCACGGCGGCGGAGGTCATCAGCAGATGAGTAAGTTTTGAAATAAAATTTGTTTCTTCTTACTTAAGAAAATTGATAAAAAAGGTCAAAACAAACTAAATTTTTGTGTTTTTTATTTTTATTTTTTTACTTTACACAAATGGTCTCCAGTTCCAATGTAAGGTTTTTGTTATTGTTTAGTTTTTTTATATTGCTCACTTTTCATCATTGTTTTTGTCACACACTCCTATTATTCCTTCAGTCCAATTCCTATCCCAATGGGGCACGGGGGCGGTGGCGGTGGGGGGCACCACTATCATAGCACTAAAATAATTCCAATTTATGTGCCACAACAATCGCACCCGGGGCGACATGTGATCAACGTTCACGGCGGTTACGGTGGACAAGGTGGCCACGGTGGCTATGGTAATTAAACTTTTAAATTAGAAAATCTTTGATGTTGTTATTTAAATGGTAATAACTTTAATTTTTATTCTTTTATTATCAGGCGGCCACGGAGGCCTCGGTGGAGATGGTAACACTTAAATTATTTTTTTTTTGCAAATTATTATTTGCATTTTAAAACCCCTTTTTTAATTTAGGAGGTTATGGTGGCGGTCATGGAGGAGGTTATGGAAAGGAGAGCAGCCACTCCTCTTATCATGCAGAGCCTAGCTTTGCTCATAACGTTTACGCCCCCTATCATTCAGGATTCGGCAGTTATGGGGGCGGTGGTGGTAGTCATGGAATGTACGGCGGACTGCCCTCTTTCGGTCATGAAGGATACAGTGGCGGAATGGGCGGTGCTCCGGGAGGTTACACCAGACGCAGCATGTACTACTGATAATATTAGAAAATAATCTTTTAAGTTTTAAAAGGTCAACTATTTCAATTTATTGTTTGTTTTTTATTTTTTATGTGTGTTTAAAAATGCATATTTGTGATTGCTAGTTTGTTTTAATTTGTTTGTTTAAAAAATGTAATTTTGTTTTTTGATTATTGACAGCTGCTATTTGTGCTTATTTAAAATTGAATAAAAATCTTTTTTAACATGTTTTAAAACTAAAATTAATAAAAAAAAATATTTATTGATTCATTAATCATTTTTGAAAAAAATCAAACTTACTGTTAGTTTAACCGGTTACTTTGTTAGTTTAAAGTTTTAATATCAATTTTTCATTTCCCCCTCTTCTCCACTGTGACAAACAAACACAATGTAGAGTGTGAAATATGAAGACGACAGGGAAAACAAAAAGAGACACTGGGTGAACTTCTTTGAAACTTATTTATTTAATTGCCCTCTCATTCTCTTTCTTTCTCTCTCACATTACATTAACTTGACTTCTCCTTACTAATGCTAATGACTTTTCATCTCTTGCTCTTGTCTTTATTATAAATGATAAGGATGTTGAAGGTCTATATAAAAGCGCACCGTTTGAAAGTTTGTTTTTTATTTGCACTGTTCTTTTTAATAATTTCATGTTTAACTTCTCTAAGTTTAAACGGTTAAAAATGAATTTCAAAACTTTCCTCTCTATTTCACCTCTCATTATTCTGTCTTTCCTGAGCCTTGCTTGGGCCGGTGAAAAGGGCAGCAAAATTATCATCGGCGGCTTCGGTGGTGGCCACGGCGGTGGCCATGGTCACAGTCAGATTAGTAAGTTCTAATGACGAGCCCAAAATCTTTAACAAGTTAACCTTTATTTAAATTTTTTATTAACTTATCATCATCTTTATCATCATTATCATCATCTTCACCAGTTCCAATGTACGTGTTTTTACAGTGTTTTACTTTTTTGCAACTTTATTTTCACCTTTTTGTTTACACATTTTCCCCTTTCTTTTCATTTCTTTCCAGTCCAATCCCCATTCCCATTCACCAAGGCGGAGGAGGCCACTCCTATCACAGCACCAAGATCATTCCCATCTACGTTCCCCAGCATCAGCAGCCCTATCACATCAACGTCCACGGCGGCATGGGAGGCTATGGGGGCGTGGGCGGATCAGGGGGCTACGGCGGCATGGGAGGCTATGGTAATTATTTTAATAAATTTAGCGACACTTTTAAAAGGTAAACATTTTAAATGATTTTCATTAAATTATGATTTAGGGGGTGAAGGGGGCTACGGACACAGCATGGCCAACAACTACGGCGGAGGAGGAGGCGGCTATGATCACAGCTACGGCGGCGGAGGACATTACTACTAATCAAAAAAGATTTTAAAAAGTAGTTTTGAGATTAAGGAGCAGGAAGAGGAAGAGGAAGAAGTTTGCCAAAATTCACACCCGTCGTTGTTGTTGTTGTTGCTGCTGCTGCTGACAAGCCCATCATTGACTCATTTAATTGTTTTATTTTGTTTTAAATTTTCACTTTCTACTGCTATCGTTTAATTATTAATCTAATCTCTAATGGCTGGCTCTTTGGTGATTGATTAATTGATAGATTAAGCAGTAGGTTTCAATTTACTGCCTGCTATTAATAATTTGCGGTAGTGCTAACTCTCACCGACTTTGTTTTTGTTTTGTTTTTTACAATGACAATGTTTGTTTGCTTATTTTTTAAAACAATAATAAAATTGTGCTGTTAAATGTTTAAATTTTTATAAGTCTGGTGAAATATTTCTGTTTTGTCAAATATTTTCGATGAAATGAGCTGTGGAAAGCAAAAACGGTAACACCTGTATTTAATATTTTTTTCAATTTTATTAAATCAATTTGATCATTTTATTTTGCGCTAGATTCATCTTATAATCATCATCATGATCATTTTCCCTACTTATCGCTCGTTCCTCTAACTAATGATCAGCCCTTTTATGCACATTTTTTAGACAATTTTATTAAAAA